TGTGTGTTGGCAGAGGGGAGTGCCCAGCTGCTGGCCTTCCAGTGACATGAAGCAACCATTTTCTGATCTGTGCTGCGTTCAACTTGGACTTTGGTTCCTGCAGCTGAAAGGCCCTTGTCACATCCACAGTCCTCACCTGTGGCACGTACAGTTTGTCACTGTGATAAGAGGCCATGACTGAAAGCAACTTCTGGAGGAAAGAGTTTATTTTAGCTTCCAGTTCCAGAGGGAGAGTCCACCGTGGTGGGGAGGCGACATGCATGCGCAGGGCCAGAGCAGGCAGCAGTGGTCACATCCTCAGGACGGAACTCAAGCGGCTGTGAACTCCCAAAAATCACCCCAGTGGTGTACCAGGGGTTCCAGCTTCCACAAGCATCATCAGCTGGACACCACGTGTTCAATATTTGAACTTGTGGGTACACTTCTCACTCAACCCACCAGAACCAAAATCACAACAGGAGACTGCTGCACCCTGATTTACCTACCGTGTGTGTGTGTGTGTGTGTGTGTGTGTGTGTGTCCCCACTTTCTCCATAGACAGGGGCCGCACAGCATCAGCCCGCACAGTTCCCCCACCAAGTCGCTGCAACTGTGTGACAAAGGCCGGCGCGTTCACACAGTGACACGCGCAGCCTGCTGGGACAACACGTGACGGTAAAAGCTATGAATCAGGAAACGAGTGAGGGCCTGGACGTGGCTCAGTGGGCACAGTGCTTGCCTAGTACGCATGAAGCTCTGGGTTCAAGCCCCAGCACCACATGAAACTGGACATGGTACACACCAGGCTCTTAGAGCTTGGGAGGCAGAGGCAGAAGGACCAGTGTTCAGGGTCATCCTCAGCTACACAGGGAGTCTGAGGCCAGCCTGAACTACACAAGACCTTGTCTCACGATATGTGTGTGTGTGTGTGTGTGTGTGTGTGTGTGTGTGTGTACACATACATATATAGACAGAGATACATAACAAGTAACGCTTCCAGCACTTTTGCACAGAGCTCTGTAGGATGCATCATGAACAGAGGGTCATACCACAGCCCAGAGCCCTGCGCTCCTGAGGCTCGTGCCGCAGGAGCACCAAGGACACAGCGACAGCCCAGCCGTGCGGAGCAGGCGCTCCACGGTGAGCGGTGAGCGGTGAGAATGGGAGGCATCCAGGGCAGCTGGGCACCGTCTTCTCGCACACCAGGTGTCAGTCACACCCAGTGCACGTGCAAAGAGATGCACACGCAGGACGGAGAGGACACAAGAGGGAGGGACACTCAGGGATGCCTGGGGAAAGCCAGCAGGCCGCTCTCAACAGAGAGGGTGCCGTGGCCAGAGGCTCCCAGAAAGCAGGTGAAGGACAGAGCCAAGAGTGGGCACACAGCCTCCAGCCGGCCACCGCTCTCCACAGGCCAGCAGTGACCTGGCTTCGGTGGGCTGCTTTATCAGCCTTATCGTCTTCGGAGATGGGGACGGGTGGTGTCCCGGAGTGATAAGGGTAAAATGAGACGAGGCATGCTACGTGACCTCACTGGAAGGTGCTCATCGTGACAGTTATCACCATACGGGACCATATGCACGGTACACTGATTCGCTTTGTAGCATTTATAAGACAAAGGTCAAAGTCTGTATCTACACCAGCGCTTAAAACACTCTGCTTCTAAGATAGTTAACCGCAATCCATTACAAAGTCCTGGAATCTGATACACTAAGAAAATGGATGGTGACTAAGGATTATAAATGCATTTATTGGCATTACTGCATCAAGAGCACAGAGCACACAATGCAAAGGAACCAGAACTGGGCAGGAAGCAGGGATCTTAGACGCAACATATTTACATATTAAATACATTTGGATTTACAGAGAGAAAACTACTGCTAAAGCATTTTGTTCCGAACACACTGAACTGCTTCTGCTCCCCAGGCAGAAGTCTGCTTTCCCTCCATGCATTCCACTAAGCATGATGAAGCAAGAGCGAGACTCTGCAAGCTGACTCTGAAGCGGCCAGTCAGGAGCTGTGAAGCCCTTCCTTCAGCTAGGATAAGGCCACATGAAAGAAAAAGGGTCAGAGCCTGGCATCTGAGAGCAGAGGAGACAGCATCAGCAAGCGACAGGCTGGCAGAAGGGCCACCCCACCCAGACGTCAACTACAGAAAGCAAGACCATTAGTTATTCACTGCGGGTTTCAGATTTCACTCAGTGAAAATTATTGTTTCCATACTCCGTAATAACATAAAAACATGATTTCTCTATTACAGAACCACAGACAAAGGGGGCTTCAAACACACGGTTAGAAGCTGCATGTAGCCTGGGGTCCAGATTCCTATCCACAGCACGCCCTACACTAGCAGACTGACACCAGGACACCAGGACACCAGCATGACATTGTTCACGGCTTACTCAGAAATATCCCTCCACCTCCACCGTCAGACACCGGGTGGCCTGATGGCGCTCGCTGGGACCCAGGGTGACCTGTGATGACCACGAGGACGCAGCCGGCCGACGGGCTGACAGGCAGTGGTGCTGAGGACAGAGACAGGGAAGGAGAGGATTCTTCTTCTCTAATGACTGCTCACTCCAAAGGGTTTCCTGATGGTTTCTGAACAGAACATCTCAAAAGCAAAAATGGAGGAGGCTGGGGAGTGAGCAGAGTGAACTCTACGAGCTAATTTTCACAGACACTGCAAACGATCAGTTTAGAATGAATCAAAACTGTCCCATCAATCAATCCATGTTAAAGGAAAGACTGCTAATTCTCAAAACCTGTCTGCTGTCTCACTAGCCTGAAAATATTCTTTAAAACTCAAAGTTCTAACAGTTCTGATTTGCCATTTTGGTTGTGAGAAAAAAAAAATCAAAATTTAAGTTGAAAGTTTCCACTTTCTCCTCTTCCCAGGAAAGTAAATAAAAACAAGACAGGGCTCTTGCAAAAAATGAGCAAGAGAGAAAACCAGTCCACTAATAAAATGGAATCACAGGGAAAACAATCTGCTTTCCGGTGGCCACTGCTCCTCCATCAGGGTCGGGTCCCTACTGTGGCTTCTGCTGTGAGCATCCACTCTGGTCACCACCACATCTGATTACACAATTCTGGTACACAGTATTGTGAGGTCCACTCTGGTCACCACCACATCTGATCACACAATTCTGGTGCACAGCGTTAGGATGCAGTCCAACCGACCACAGGACAAAGTTCAAAGGAGCAATTCATTCTTCTCAAAGGGTCATGGTAAGTAAAAATCCAAAACAAAACACAGCCCTCACTGTTTTGTGCTAAGAAATAGTCTAAGAACTAAAAACCAATACTGACAGGACCTTGCCTTACCCCCGTGAGCCTCAATGGACCAGCTCGGGCTGGTTGTCCACGAAGGGCAGCACCCCACTCACATAGTAGGCAATGCCCAGAGATAGCAAAGCAATGACGAGGAGCAAGAGCAGGACCCTCCAGAAGCCCAGGTCCTCCACGAACTCCTGCCACGTGGTCCGGAAGCTGGACAGGACTCCTTCACCTTGCTGGAGGCTGGGGTTGAGCAGAGAATGGCTTTCCATGGCACTGTGGGAGGAGGAGAGAGAAGGGCATGAAAACACACGGCACCAGAGCACGGAAGAGACAAGCTTTGGAGAGCTCACTACAGAGATGCACGGGCCCGGGAAGGTGCTGCTTACAAACTCCTGGGAATCCACAAACCGATAAACCGCAATGACTGGGTCCCTGGGTCACTATCCAGCAAGGCAAATCAAAATCCCTAGTCAGGAAGTCCCAGCAGGTGTCTGGGGGAAGGGGAGTGCACTTTGAGAAGTCCAATGGAGACGAAGAGGCCCAGTGTGACCTGTCTGAAGTTTCCTCTGCCTGAGCTGAAGTCTCTCACACTGAAAGATCACTGAAGTGGAGCTGGGAATGAATATGATCAAGATATGTTGTAAGCATGTATAAATTTGTCAAAAAATAAATTAAAAACCTTTTTTTTTTTTTTTTTTTTTTTTTTTTTTTGTTTTTCGAGACAAGGTTTCTCTGTGTAGCTTTGCGCCTTTCCTGGATATCACTCTGCAGACCAGGCTGGCCTCAAACTCAGAGATCCACCTGCCTCTGCCTCACGAGTGCTGGGATTAAATTCGTGCGCCGCCACCACCGCCCGGCTAATTAAAAACATTTTTAAAGTTGCCCCAAGCAGAGATCTTAAAATGGGTCGAGCATCTGTCTCCATCGAGCCATTAAGCAAAACCTATCTTGTTTGACATTTGGAAGATCAAATGGCGGGCAGGTGGGCGGGCGGGCGGCGGGCGGTGGCGGGGTTGGGGGGATGGCTCAGCAGGTAAAGCTCTGGCTGCTCCCGCAGCACCCACCCCGCAGCTCACAAGCATCTGGAACTCCAGCTCCAGGGGATCTGACGCCCTCTTCTGGCCTCTACAGGTACCAGTCACATACAATACGCATGCGTGCATGTAAGGGAAAATACTCAAACACATAAAATTTAAAAATCTAAGATACTCAAAATACAACTTCATAATTTGAGATTTCATATTCATAAAAATAACAAAAAATCAGTAGATTTAAAAGTTCACTTCAATATAGTATGTGGGTGTGAAGGCTGGAAGGGAATTTCTCCTAATTTAGTTCAATTGTGTGCCAGTTAAGAATTCTCTGATAAAATCTAACAATGGATGCTGACTTCTCAGCCTGCAGGACATGTAGACTGGTCTTAGGAATTCTTCTCCTCATTATCCTCTGTGCTTTTGCATGTGTGCACACATGCACATACATGATGCCATGTGAAGGTCAGAGGGCAGCTTCTGGGATTCAGTTCTCCTTCCGGCTCAGGCTTTCATGGCAAGTGTTTTTACCTGTTAAGTCCATCTTGCTGGCCAGGAACTCTCATCAGCTTCCCCTAATACTTTACATGCTTATTTACACGGTCTTGCTACACAGCTCAGCTTGCCTGGGACTCATTCTGTAGCTGAGGCTGGCCTCGAACTCTCGATCTCACCTCAGCCTCCTGAGCACTGGGAACACAGGCGTGTGTGTCACCACGCCCAGCTTCCTCCTAATCACTTTGTCTCTCACATACCCTAACAGGGACTGAGTTCATTTTTCTTCTACAGGAAAACTCGGCCGCGCTGGAAACAGTAATGTAGACAGTCTAAAGCAGACTCGAGTGTTCATGGACTATCACGAGCAGTGCAGATACCACAGAGGAAATGGGCACTCTGCCTTTGGGCTGTGAAGGCCACCGTGTGGGGGACTGAAAGCTCACAAGGTTACAGCATGCAGCCTAAAGCCACAAAGACCATAATCCTGGAGCAGCTGTCAGCCGGGCCGGGCCGGGCAGGGAGAAGTCCTGTTCTTCCCAAGCCCTTCCTTCACGTCCGCCCAGGCACCAGCACAGAACAGGAGAACCAGCCCACAGCAGCAAGCGCAGGGAAATGGTGCAAACAGGGGCTTCTTTTTTTTTTTTTTTCCCATTCAATTATATATATATTTAATTTTAAATGTCGAATGTCATTTCTTGAAGGGGGTAGGAGGTTAAATACAGGCTTACAGCACAATGGGATGACCCCGGAGGGCAGAAGTTCTCTACAGATGTTTTACAATCTTGCATCTAATCTGTTAACACTCATTATTCAGGATACACAGACAAGGAACTTCCCTTAAGCATTCAGGAGGGTGGAACCTGGCAGGGAATTAGCATTGGAGGATATCAAGGTCAAGGTCAGCAAGCAAGGCAACAGTTACCCAAAATGGGGGCCAGGACCCTGCAGGTCCCCCTTTTATTAAAAAATGAGCTTCTGACTTGGGTTGTGTGGGACGCCAGCAGGTCACCTTACCCGTCATGGAGATGCCTGCCCAGGCCACACAGGTGCTCTGTCTTAGGTTGGTGAGCGCCCCCCAGGCATTACCAGTCTCTGAATACTCATTATTATACCGGCTCAGTCGTGTGTGAGCTGCATGGTTAATTGCTGCCAAAGATCTCAAAGTGGCACTGGGCTTGCAATCTGTGTGTTCAATACAGAAAAGACCAACAGAGGTCCTATCTCACCCATAGCCAGTAGGCTAAAGGCAACTGAGCCATTCTCTTCCTTAACGAGCCATACTGTACGTTGGAGCCCTTGTAAGATAGTATCCCAAAAGCAACTGGAATTTGAGTTTGTAAATTTATAATTTTCAAGGCCAATCGAGATGTATATAACTACTGAATTAAATTTATCATGCCCAATAGAATGCAAGATTAACTAACTGTGGTAGCTACTTTTGTTGCCAGGGTCTCCACTGTGCTAGGGGGCTTCTTATCAAACACTCTGGTTTGACCTCTTCCCACTTAACCCAAGGGCAGGCTCACTGATGATGAGCTCCAGTCTCCAGCTGCTGACTTCATAATGGGTCCATGTGCTACACACCCAGATTCCTTTATGTTAAAAAATACATAAAACGAGACACTTGCAGTAAGAGTCTACAACGATATGGAAACCCCAGCAAGTTTATAATAAGAGCCACACTTTGAGAAGTCCAATGAAAACCAAGAGGCTCAGTGTGACCTCTCTGAGGTTTCCTCTGCCGGAGCTGAAGTCTCTCACACTAAGATCCTATGTAAAATGAGAATGCTGTGAGTGTTCTCAGGAGCCCACGGAGCTCTGCCAGGAAGAGCAGAGGTTTTATCCAGTACATGTGTCCCACTGTCCAGGGACTAGGAGACTCCACTAGAGAGGAGGGTGTGGGTGTGGGAGTGTAGGTGTGACTGTCAGCTTCTGTTTTTGAGGTAAGGTCTCACTGGAGCAGCCTCAGACTCACTATGTAGACCAGGTTAGCTTCACCTTGTGGTGACCCTCCTGCTTCTGTCTCCCAAGTGCTGGAATCATGAGTCTGTCCGTGAGTCTGTCTGTGCCACCATGGCTGGCTTCATCTGTTCTTTTTAACATGTCACCTTCATGGCCTTTGCCATGCTGGACCCACATAACAACAATAACAACACTGAGGACTGGAGAGGTAGCTCAGTGGTTAGCAGCACAGCTGCTCTTCCCAAGGGCCCAAGTTTGATTCCCAGCACCCACATCGTAGCTCACGGCAGCTGTAAACTTCAGTTTCAAGGGATCTTCTGGCCTCTGCCAGCACTGCACACATGATGTACACACATGCATGCAGATAAAACATTCATACACATAAAATAAAATACTTTTTTAAAAGAATAAAACTGAACTTAGAGTAATATACAGAGATGGGGAACTACTCTTCATCAACTTGATTTTTAAGTCCTCCCACACATTATCCTGTGTCCCCCCCAGAACCCTCACGGTAAATCCACTGCTTTGAAGGTGGTCACGGTTAAGCTATAACGCCACTTCCTGACTTACCCCTTGGTATTTTCCCTACACTCTATTTAGTGTATGCTAAAACTTTCTTCTTTTCATGTCTCACTATGTAGCCCTGGATGATCTGGAACTCACAGAGATCCTCCTGCCTCTGCACACACCCCCCTCATCTGAGATTAAAGACATGTGCCCCACTGCCCGACTGAACTCATCTTTTAAATGATGAACTTGGGTTCTGAGGCCTTTCAAAGGTATGAGTCCTCTCTACTATCTGATTCCCAACATGCATCGCCGCTCGTCCCAAAGTCTATACCCATTAGTCACCCTTCGCTGTCCTCCCAAACCCCAGCAACCACTAATCGACTTTGTTCCTGTGAATTTCCCTGTCTGGGGGAAATTATTCTGCATAACAACAGAATAGACAGTGTGAGAACTTTTATTCCTGGCTTCTTCCATAGAGCCCTTTTTAAAAACTATTTATTCTGACTTTAGCATCTGTCAATACTTTATTCATTTTTATGGCAGAGTAATATTCCTTTGGATAAACAGGTAATATTTATTCTTTCCTTAGTTGATGGGCATTTGGTCTGTACCTAGAAGTGGAATTGCTGGGTCACAGGGTGACCCTGTGAAACTTTTAATAAGCTGTCAGGCTGTTTTCCAAAGTGATCGCACTCGTCTACACTGCCTTCGGAGGGCTCCACTTTCCCTACAACCCCACAACACTAGTGACAGCCTACTGAGCTATCCTCAGAGTTCAGTACTCCTCCCTGTGGTTTAATTCGTATTTTTATAACGTCATTTTCTAATGGAATTTAATCTCAGGTACTGTGGCACCGAGGGCAGCAGTGTTAATAATTTACACCCAGGAGCTTCAGTGTCCACAGAGCTATAACTAACACGAATTCCCACGACAGGCATTTGGAAAGCAGGGGTTAACATTGCTCCCAAGCTGCCCAAACAACTAACCACACCTTAGTTAATTAGTAATCACAACAGGCAAAATAAAGTCCAAGTGTACTTCTGATAAAGAGTCCTACTGGCCAGTATCAAAATGAGATCTCCAAACACATCAAGAGAAACATGAATTCTTGGACATTTTCTCAGTGAAGAAGTGTGGGCTGGAGAAATGGACCCGTGACGAGCACTTGTGTGCACACCCAAGGATGGGGCTTAGATCCCTGCATGTACCCCACCGGCCAGGCCGGGCATCCCACACATGCCGTAACCCCCTACACCCACCCCACCGGCCAGGCCAGGCCAGGCATCCCACACATGCCATAACCCGGCTCCAAGGGGTGGGGGATGTAGAAAACGCAGGTCCAGGCTCAGGAGAGGCCCTGCCTCAAAGGAATGAGTGGAGAGCGACTGACAGACACCTGAAACCCTCCTCCAGCCACTCCACTAGTGCACAGCAATGCGCACAACACTCAGACAGACAGACAGACAGCTGCGCCCTCAGTACCTTTCGCTCTCCGCCGTCTGCATGGTCTCTAGCTTGGAGTGTGCACCTCTGTTAAACCCCTTCACCTCCTGCTCTTCCAAAGACTCCAGCAGTCGGATGACATCCTTGTTCACGCCCCGGCGCTTTGCCAGAACCAAGGGGGTAGCACCCTGATGATTGCTGGAAAAGGTCACAGAAAGAAAGTCATTGCAGTGGCCATGCCACACCGGCTCCCACCGGCTCGTTCTCAACAAGGAAAGCGTGGGCCAATGGTTCACAAGTCAAACCCAGAGCAGACCCAAGCAAGCCAGAAACTGACGTTCCAGTTACTGGATTTTTCCTTCCAGAAAAGAAAAACAAAAACAACAAAATAGTAATAAAAGAACATTTAGGAAAAAGAAAGAACAGATGACGGTAAATAAAAGAAAAAAGAGAACATCCTAGGGATGAATTGGAAAGTCTAGTCCAGACTCAGGTTCTGTACACACTGTGGGTGTATTCACGTACACGTACACACATGTATGTGCACACACACACACATCTCTAGACTTGGTCTCTGTATACACTGTGGGTGTATTCACATATAAGTACACACATCTCTATATACATGTATACATACAGATATAGATATGGTTTAAGTGTGAAAAGCGGCCTTGAGCACTGAGCTATCTGACACCAGCATCAGAAGACCAGAATAGACCTCAAATCACACCAGCTCCTCCCCATCTGTCCGGCTGTCACAGAAACATTCTCTGTCATGCTGCTCTGGGTGGCCATGGCTCCAGTACTCCAGGACAGCAGGAACCCGAAGCTTAAAGTCCAGGCTCAGTACTGAGATGGGCTGGCCTTTCCCACACAGGAGAGCAGGTGGTACTGGGTCCCACAAAACCAAACTCACGTGCCCTCCTGAAGAGCTATGACGAGCTAGTGTGCTGTTTGAAAGAGGCAGAGGAGCTTGGCCAGGAACTCGGGCCAGACCCCAGCCCTGTCCTTTATAAGCTGTGTGACCTCCTGACCTACCTACTTCATGTATAAAATGAGGAAAGGGAGGACTGGGGCGGGGAGGTGAGCTCAATATATAAATACTTGGATGGGAAAATCTAAAAAATAGTAAATAAAAACTGAAGATAAGAGACTAGAGCGAGAGCTACTTACTGTGAGTTTAGAACAAGCTGATCAAACAGGCTTCTTCCTTCTTCTGTTGAATTGAACTTTACCAGCTACTATTCCACACAGAGACGTGTTTCTCTCTCTCTCTCTCTCTCTCTCTCTCTCTCTCTCTCTCTCTCTCTCTCTCTCTCTCTCTCTCTCCAGGGCTGGCCTCCTGTTCCCACACTCCCTTAACAAGGCTCCAGTCTTCGAGACCTTTCTGAACTCATCATCACACCTGATCAGACGGGGATCAGACCCCACCCTGCACGACTAACAGGAAGAAATGACCCGGCTTCAAAGGCACAAAGAACTCACCAAATATCAATTTTGAGTCCGTTGGAAACTAAGAACTGGATGGTGTCCACGTGGCCACACAGGTGGAGGGCAGTGTTCCCCTGATAATCCGTGGCCAGTGGATCAGCACCAAATTTATGCAGCAGCTGGCAGATGTCCACGTTCCCTCGGGCCGCGGCGAGGTGAAGGCCTGTTCTGCCCCTGCTGTCTCGGATGTTTGGGTCGAAGCCACTCTCCAACAGGCGCTTGGAGTAGGTGAACTCTCCGTCGATGCAGGCTTGGAGCAAGGGCACGTTAGTCTGGGAAGAGTCGTTCACAAACACGTAGGACATGGTGGATGTGGAGGACGGACACTCCTGCAGTGACAGAGGAGGAGGGTGAGAGCTGGCGAAGGCAAAGACAAGCAGCCAGAGAAACATTCATCTTTCTCGGCCTCTTCCTCAAAATCAGTCTCCTCCCCAAGCAAACAACAATCACAAAATTATCAATTATGGTTCATTTTCCACTAAAAGACTTTATTTTCTTCACATCTGCCAGATCAAAATGGCAATTAAATTACTGTAAAGCTCTTTTGCTTTTTATCATAAAAAGGTGTTGAAATATTTTTGAAGCTAAAATACAATTGCTTAGATTTAAGTTCATGACAATATCTGAAAACACCGCCATCCCCACAGGCACACACCACTGCTGGCTTCTCGTCCAATACATGGTGATTCTCCTTCACATGTGCTCTTCTTAAAGGAGACACTACAGAGTCAAGAGGACCTGTGTGCAAGCCCACGCCCACTGTGTTTGAGGCACACATTTAAGACTTCACTGAAAGAGGTAAAGGAATTAACACGCTGATTTTAGAAATGCCATTAAACAACAGACTTTTACAGAATTAACCCCTTCTGCTGTTTTATTGACACCTCAATATTTGATTTTGCCAAACTCCCAGTATCTAAGAGTGGGCGACGAGGAAGACAGCCACACCCAAACCCCACTCCCCGGGGTTCTGCGGCCTGAATCTCCTGGAGGCTGGGCACAGTAGCAGTCTAGTACCCAGTCAGTCCCATTAGTACCCCAGCGAGACCTGAAAACTCCCGGGCTGAGCCTGGCACTGCCCTGCCTCCACCACAGCTGCCTCAGGCGCACGGCAGTCGGCTTCACAGGCTCTGCCTCACACTTTGCTTCATCTAAGAAGAAAGTCTCCCAAAAGGAACTTCTGAAGAGAAAACAGAAAGGCAAAGACCAGGGCAAGTTTCTCCGGTGAAGTCTTTCTGGGACACTAATGGCCCTGGGTACCAGGCCAACCCAGGGTAAACTCCCCGTCCCACGGTCCACGAGTGCAGAGCCCACGGGCATTGGGTGTGGCAGGGCTCTCAGGTCGCCAGCCTGGGCCGCCTGACTCTAGAGCTCTGCTGCTGCCCTCGGCTCTGAGGCAGGTGTCAGCCCATACATCCCGAGGATTTGTTCTGAGCACCCCATGTTGATGGGGTGGTTATTGACTGCTATGTAGCCATAGCAACATCAAGGTTGTTGTAGTAAAACATAAGCTTTGCTATCCCTGACTTTCCATGAGAGCACCTACAGACTTCAGTAAGGAGACAGCACGGTCTTACTGAGCTTTCAGACATGAAAGACCAGGCAAGCAAGCCATCAGTAGGCCACTGGACAGGAAGTGACAGGACCTTTACCCGCAGCAGTGACAGGAGAGGCGACCTTCTGGAGAGGGACAGAGAACACGACCAAGGTTCAGTAACTGGTAAGGACCCCTCTGGACAGAGGTCAGGATGAAAACATTGATATAACACAGCATCAAGATTAGGGGTTTGTCTGAGACAGTCTCATGATGTGTGTAGCTCAGGCTGGCCTCAAACTCAAACTCTTCCTGCCTCAGCCACCACTGATGGCTTGAAATAACAAATTCTTTTCTTCTTCTTTTTTTTAAATTTTGGGGTTTTTGAGACCGGGGTTTATCTGTGTAGCCCTGGCTGTCCTGAAACTCCCTCTGTGGACCAGGCTGGCTTTGAACTCACAGAGCTATGCCTGCCTCCACCTCCCAAGTGCTTGAATTAAAGGCATGCACCACCACCGCCCAGCTGAAATCATAAATTCTTAAAAATTAATCAGGGCTGGAGAGTTAGCTCAGCTGTTAAGAGCACTGGCTGTTCTTCTAGAGGACCTGGGTTCAATTCCCAGCATCCACACGGCAGCTCACAAGAGCCTGTAACTTCAGTGGTGGGGGAGCCAATACCCTCACACAGACACACATGCAAGCAAAACACCAAAGCACCTAAAATAAAATGAATAAGTCAATAAAAAGAAAGAGCACTTGTTGCTCTTGTAGAAGACCCAGGCTCAGTGCCTGGCACCCACATGGTGGTTCACAGCCATCTATAAACCAAGCTGCAGGAAATCCAAGGCCCTCTTCTGACCTCTATGGGCATCAGGCACACACCTGGTACACAGACAAACATGGAAACAGAATAGTCAATACACTTCAAATAAATCTTAAAGAAGTTTAACAACTTCAGAAGGCACAGTTTCCACATAGTGGTTGTCTTCTCACTTGTATAAAAAAGTAAGTCCACCTTAAGAATTCGTTTAACAGTTACCAGTGCTGTGAGAGCATTCTCTAACTTCCCCTTGCACTATTTACTGGATTGGGGCTCCAAAACAAACACAAACCTAACACAAACTACCTCGGAAATAAAAGAGCCTATACCAAGTGTTTTTCAAGAGCCAGGACTTGCTGGCTACACTCCGGTAAGAATGCTCCTTAAAACCTATCTACCTGGTGTTTTGACTCGGGTCGTCTGGCGTGCGGAATTCTGGGAATCCTTCTTATCTGCTGAGGGGAGAAAGGAAGCGGTCATTTCTGTCCTGGAGGAACTGCTCCACCAGCCCCAGTGAAGACTGCTGCCACAGTGCGGGCCACAGTGTGGGCCTCAGTGCGGGCCACAGTGCGGGTCCACATGCTGTGAGGAGTCCGAGGCGGAGCACACCTCAGGTGAGGTGAGATGGCTCCCTCGGCGGCCACCCGGAGCTGTACTGCAGTCCTCACGAGGTTCAGCAAAGACATCAGCAGTGACGAGGAACTCACTCACAGCCAAGGTGCGGCGTGAGAAAGGACACTCAGTCAGTTCTGTGACACACAGGTGGGTCAAGGGGCCGTGCACAGTCCCCAGGACGCCTGAGGTGAAGGGGCAAGGTGCCAGGCCACCCCCATGACTGCTCGGCACTCTGGACGGGGTGATGTGGAGCTGTGACCACTGACAGGAAATCACAGGCAGGAAGGAGTCACCAGGCGTCACCGACAGGGGACAAACAGGGCTCTGGAAGTCACTCTCAGCCTCTGGACTCTGAAAGCATATTCTCCACAATGTAGATGGAGGCTGACCTCTAACTCTGACTAAGGGCCACAGAATTTGATAGCAGAGTCTCGCACAAGCTAGGCAAGGGGTCACCCACTGAACCACACCCCCAGCTCCACAGAAGCAGTCTTGGAAAGGAATACCGTTCCTAAGAGGGCGAAGGGTAAACTAACAGCCACAGCTTGTCACTGGACCAAACAAAGTGGGTTTAACTCAATATTCTAACCCTTGTCCTTTCTGGTCGGCAGGACCCTCCTGCTGCCAGGCCGTGCTCTTGAATCATGCTGCTCACCTCAGGCTTGCCCTGGGCCCACGGGGTGGCCTCTCTAGACACCCTTTCTGACCACTCAGTGCTTATGAAGACCTGTGAAAGCAGGGGTGCTGGGCAGCCAGTCTGGATCACAGAAGAGCATCATCAACTAATAAATAAAATTCACTGTGGGCCTCAAATGTGTCATGTTAGCTGGTTTCATATGAAGTCCGAATCCCAGAGTCACCATGAAGCTGAAACTTGCATTGATCTTTTACTGGTCATGCGAGGTTGCTATCCACTGTCTTTAATAAATGTACACGGAGAAACCACTAACGGTATCTGGCAAGGCTTCATTTACAATGATCACATCAGACTGTAACAGGGGGCTGGCAGTGCTGGACAGGACACTGACAAGCTGATATGAGGGCCACAGAGGACCAAGAGACAACTGAAGACAGGCTAGGGCACAGTACCCTCTATTGCTTCTAGTTTTCTGGGTTCCGTATCAATCTGGACAAACTTCCCGTACTGACCCACGTAATGCGATGCTCTCAGGCTGTCACCTACTGCCTCTCTAGCATAGACCTGGCTTTTAGTTTTCAGTATGAAAAGGCGAGAGGGTGTTTTTAAGTGAATTCGCGTTATAAAAGAGCAAGCTGTGTTCCTTGTGTGGGTACAATGACAGACCACACGTAATTACATCCCAACACCCCGATGAGAGGCAGAGCATATGTTTGTGTGTGTGTGTGTGTGTGTGTGTGTGTGTGTGTGTGTGTGTGTGTGTAGGCCCGCATACATGCTTGAGCATCACCTACATGCGTAGTGCCCACCAAGGCCAGAAGAGGGCACTGGACCCCCCAACTGAGTTAGAGATGGTAGTGGGCTGCACCTGGGTGCTGGCTCTCTGTAGGAAAGTAAGTGCTCGTAACCCCGCGCCCAGCCCCACCCCACCCCCCCCTTCTGTCTTCTCAGCCCTGACAAGTCACTGTGTGCCTCCCACTTCCGTCAGCACTGGAGAGTACGGTGTCAGGGAAACCACCCAGGAGCATGCGTGCGTCTCTTCATACACAGTTGTGTATGCACTGCCCCTTGTACTCTGAGTACCGTCCCATGTCACAGACAGACCAACGCTTGTTGATCAGCTTGTTACTGAAGGACACCTGGTTGTTACAGGAATTAACAATCACATCAGAGCTGTTGAAAAGTATCACATTTATTTCTATTTGGCCATGAGCACCATGGTGTGCCTGAGGAAACCAGAGGATACCTTCTGTTTTCTCCTTCCTCCAGGGATCTAAGGTGGTTGTCAGGCTTGGTGGCAAGCCTTCCTTCACAATGGAGCCATCGCCCAGGGAAGCTGTCAGCATTGGTGTATAGGTTATGTGAAGCTGGTTCTTCTTTTTTCTAGGATAAGTGGTTAGGAATGTAACCACTGGGCTGCAGGAAAACCTAAAAAATGTGACTGAAAGACTGGTGGGTCCAATGGTGTCATCTTTCCCAAGCAAAAAAGAACATAATGAAGTCAATCTTTGGGTCATTTTTCTGAGGGACAAGTTATTTATAGGCATCTCTGTAGGACCGAGCATTTGGAGGGACGACTAGAAGCCCTGGGACTTACCAAAGGGTGTATTTACCAAGAACCATCCCGAACACAAGGTTAGGGGCTCTAACAAGAGCGTCAACAGCTGACGTCACGAGGGCTGAGTCAGACCCGAGCGTGGGTCTGAAAGCTAAGCAGACAACG